GTTGGATTCATGTTTACTATCAATAAAAATTTGTGATAGTATAATATATAAAAATTCTAATGTATAATATATATTCTATATTTGGAGAAACATTTTGCTACAAGCCTGTTCAAGGATTAATCAGTTAATTCATGAATATTCTCAAAATCTCTGAAAGATTTCCATTTTAAGCCTCAAACTTCTTTCAACAGAAAGTGTCATTTAAAATTAGTGTTAAATATTATATAACTGACGTGATTAATGAAGAAGTTTAAACAAAAATGCAAAAATGTGGAATTCAAGTGCTGATCGAGTTCTTATGGTTTTATCTATAAAATTGTTGCAAACGACCGAATTTTTTTTATAAAACTCCTAGTCTTCAGTAAGTTTATATTTTCCTTGAATACAATATTAATCAAGTTATGTTTAAATGATCATGTTTGCTTAACTTCAAGCTATTATGAACAGCACTTTTAGTCATTAATTATTCATTTACATTAGTCATAGACAATTGTGGATTTTAGTTATTAAATTTAATCATTAAATCAGACGTCTCATGTGCAACAACCTAATGCTATTTTTTATGCGCATCAAACCCTAATATGTTTTTTTTTTAAATTATTTATTTTCTATGTCTTCTATAAGTAGATGTAATTAACCGTAAGAAATTCATTCGTTTCAGGTGCACGCTTACATGAAAAACACAACAAAATAGGAAAATTGAAAATCGAAAGTTCAACTTCGCAGCGAGTCGTACGGCACCTGCAACAGTTTGCGAGCGAGTTTAATCGGAGACCTTTGCATATCCAAGCAATGACGAACGCCGAGGGAGGAAGATGCAAGGAGATCCGGTAAGTAATCAAGAGGAAACCGAATCGCGATACACCGCGGGACGCAGACACAGACTGAATAGGCATTTAGCTCGCGTTTACCTACCGTATTCGCGGGCCAGTTTGGCTCACGCATTCGAGCCGCCAACACCGACTGATTCTTCTCTAATCGTATTTTTCAAATCGTGATCCCGCCGCAACTTTGAACTTGCTTTATGAATCGCGTCCATTGGATCTGAGTCAATTGAAACCTATTACCATTCTGTTTCTTCAAATCAACCAATTTCTTTGGTCATTCTTCTAGTTGTCTATGCTTCCTTTATTTCACTCCTCCAATCCATCCTTCCTTCCTTCCTCTCTTCCTCTTCTCCTTTCTTACTTCCTCTCTTCTTCTCTTCCTTCTTCTCCTCCTGTAATTGACTCTAATAAAAATCGACCGAAGATTTGCAAACGTGCATCAAGACCGGCTATTTCGAAGTTCGCGAAGCAGATGATAGCTGACATTCCTTAGGAGGCAGCCCAGAAGAAGTTTACTGTTCCTTTGGAGCCTGCGATTAGGACATCTCGACTAACCACGAGTAAGTGACACTTCATCACGATATTTAATTCGATATTTAATTCCACCAAATATCAGTGAAACGTGACTTTCCTTTCCGTTGATATTATCACTGACATTTCAACCATGTTTAATTTAATTTAACTTTATTTACTGTTGCAAGTAATTATTTTATTATTTCACTATTATTATATCATCTCGTTTATTACTTACTTATTACAAGTTTTCCCATTAATGTAATAATAAGAGTGGCAGAGGCAAAATACAGAAAGATTATAAGATAAGATAATACAAAGGATGCTGGAAAATTAGTGTAGAAGCGAGCGAGTAAAAATGGAAAGACATAGATCGTCAGTTTGAATTTTTCGTGCTCGAAATATTTCCCAGGAATCATAAGGGCGAGAACAAACAGTGTGATATTCGACTGTGAAATTGCATTGAATCACTCCGACATAAATAAAAACTATAATACGATAAATCAATTCGATTGTTATTCATTGGCAGTCTTGTATATGTAATACAGTAACATGTAAAACATTTCTCGTTGCGTAATGATCTCTCGGGAACGATTCGAAGCACGTTTCTTAAACAAATACATCTGTCACGAATACGAAAACTGTGCGATTCTCATTCACTATATATATTACTCATTCATGTAACGTGCATACCTGTACGCACGTATAAGCATCGAAATAGAATGAGTAATCCTGGGTGATTTAAAAGGAACCGAGCAATTGTTTCTCGTCGGTAGAAAGGCAGACATCCATTTCTACAGACGTTCAAACAAGTTATGATATCGTGAAACCGAAAATTACAGTTCACCATCGAATAACATCGATCTCTCTCCGAGTCAATATCGTAAGAGTTTCCTCCAAGGATTATTAAGTAATTAATATTATTAACTAGAATATTAAGATTATTAACTAGTCCGTGTCTAATAAACCATAACTTCTTATAATTTTCTTAATAATGTTATTTCTTAATAATTATTAACTAGAATATTAGGATTATTAACTAGCCCGTGTAATAAACCATAACTTTGTAATTTCTTATAATTTTCTCAATAATGTTCTCTTTTCTTTAATTTATTTTATTATAAGAATTTGCAGGTATATGAATGTATAGAATTAACATAACATATAAAATATTCTTCTTGCAATAGATACTTAATGGATGAAATAATTTCTCCTGGATTTCATTAGTTTAATTGTTTTCACAAGAATGTGATATTGCAGTCTGTAGTAATAATACATGTAACAAAGATTCCAATCAGTAACAAGTTATTATGATATGATATAATATAAGAATATTGTATATAAAGGAACTTGCAAAAAAAATAAAAGGGAGAAGTGAGATCACGTATCGTTAAAGAAGAATACTTCTTTTCTTATATTTACAAGTTCTTTTGTATAATTTATTTCAATATTAAACTACACAGATAGAGACACGTTCCCTTTTTTAATTCTTAGAAGTTTGTATAATTCACATAGCTAGGGAACGAGTACATTTTTTTTTTTTATTCTTTACAAGTTCTTCTGTACAATTTATTTTAATATTAATAAATTTATTTTAATATTAATTTAATATTAAAATAAATTTATAATATAATTTTAAAATTATTTAATATTAATTTAATGTTAATACATTTTAATAAACATACGAATAGGGATTGTCACACCGATATTGACAGCTACCCTAAGTTTTCGGAGAGTCAAAAATTATACGCAGATATTCGAGTACACGGGGTGCCTGTGCCCCTAACCCAAAAGGGTCAACCATTACCCCAAATCCATAACGTAGAGAGAACGATCGGAATTTGGGCCAATAGGCCTTGGGTTTGGGCACGTAGGCTTTGATGTGACGGTCGCGTTATTTTTAGCGTGAACAATTTGAAAGATCACGTATAAGCATTGGCGCGTCTTACGATAAACAGATCAAATGGAAAAGAAGGGGAGAAAGAAAAAATAATCGGGATAGAGGAGGAGACGCTTACGGTTGAAGACTCGAGAGGGATAATAAAGTGAAAGAGGAGAAGCGAAAATGATTTTGAAAAAGAAAAGAAAAGAGAGGAACTCCGTATAATTTTAGCAACGTTGAACGGATCATGTTTATATTGGGTTGCAACATACGAAATGTCCGACTTCAAACAAACATAACATTTTGATATTAAATTTCATTAATCGGAATAATAACCGGCACGCCTTTCCTGAATCTGTTATTAATTTAATTATAGATTTATTAATATAATAAATGTATTTCATTCTTGTCATTCTATTTTCTCTTTGCCATTCTATTTTTAAAGTAGATATTTCTGGCGTCGATAAATTCTTAATTTGTAAACATTTAAAATGATACTCGAAATAAACCAAAGGTAAAACAAATGAGGACTAAATCTGACAGAAGAAAGATCACTTCTGAAGTTGTTTTTAAAACATCTTAAATCCAAAGATTTATCTTTAAAAAAATGACTTGAAATACTCGTACAACACAATTTCATATGTTTTACATCGGTTGATTTTTGGAATTTTTGGTTTGATTTATAATTTTATTATAATATATATCAAATCAAACACTTTGAAGTTTCGTAACATGATATACAAGTTATTATAGTTGTCTGTGGTCCCATGATACCACTTTTGGTATATTTAATTTTAATCTTTAACTTAAAAATGCGCAATACGTGCGACGCTAATGCTCGGATGGAGAGGAAATGATGAAATAGGAGGAAGAATTGATTCGTATTTCGCGAGGAATTATTTCTAAGAACGATCGAGCTGTGTCGACGAAAAGTCAATCATTCGATAAAGAAAATATCGAATAAAACGATAAAATAATTGATAAGACGTTTTGTCAATAAATGAATCTCTGCACTCTAAAACGTTGAAATTCGCTTAAAAATATGCAGTGCCCTCTTTCTTTAACCCCAATTTTCGTCAATCGAGTCATTTTTAAAATAGCCTGCACACGAATCACTATAATTATATACCGTTTTACTTCTTTCATTCTTCCAATCTTTCACAATTGAGACTCATGTTCGATTGAAAAAAATTGAACTGCTATATTAACGAGATCGACAAATAGTGATCATTTCCGCGTGTTTCTCCCATTCTTTGTCGAATAATTTGAATAACTCCAATGTACGATACTCGATGTGGTTTAACTCCTGAGAATAATCTATGGGGTTCAGTAACCAATCAGTCTAATTGTAAATCTCTTCTTAATAAAATCCACTTGTATTGTCACATAACTACTCTTTTGTTGACAAAATCTTCAATCGAAAAGAGAAGAGTTTAGTCATTATAACACGATAACAATGATATAATTAAGTAAATTAATTACAGCAGATCTATCGTTTCTTCGTTGAAAATTATTAATAGTATAATCAATTCCCCGCGTCTACTGGGACAAATAAATTTATACGCTCCATTTCTCACCAACGCTATGATTTTTCGATCTTACCCATTAGAGAATTTTTTATTTATAACTTCTGCGATTAATATACTTTCGCAGTCAATGTAAATATAATTGAAAATCTGATGAAGAATGGAATCACATTAAAAAAAATTAATTTTACAATTGAAAAGTTTTAGTTTTAGTTTTCAAAAGATCAGTATAGGTACACACATGTATCAGAAAGATTAAAACAAAGCTCTTTTCAGTGTAAAAGATATATTGTAGCATAAGTAGTTCTTATTGAGAGGAGACCTACGTTGATTAACTTCTAAACTTTTCAAATTTGTAATAATACACGGCAAACAAATGCTAGAAATACGTAAATTCGATTTGTTCTTTCCTCAGCGGAAGTACTATGTAGTATAATATGTATATATTTTGGATTAAGCGATTTAATATCGTATATGTTATAAAATTCATGCGACATTCATTTGAGTTTAAATGTATAATATTAAATTGAGTAATAAATTCATTCACGTACTTCACTCTTTAAAATCTATCCAACAAAATAATAATTTCTTTTTATTTCAATTATATAATATATAATAAAATCTCTATAAATATATAATAAATTGTATTTGTATTGTATATTCTGCAGATGATTCTTGCAAGATATTTAAATTTCTATATTAAATAGAGGCAAGTGAATTTACTGTTCGAATATTTTATCAATCTTCAACGATTTGGCAAATGAGCGGCTCGCATAATCATTTAACTCGAAATAATGACAAAACCACTTTATAAAGTTTGTGTAAATCATGTGTTGAACAAATCGTGTGACAGATTTGATAAAAATTTCATCGAATCATCCTACAAATTTTTTTATCGATGTGCTCGTCATCGTCGTCGTCATCTATGAAAGGTTGCATAGTTTTCTATTGACTGCATTCATTGAGTAATAGAATGTTTGACGCGAAGCACATGGCACGTTTGTTGAACGATAAATGTACCATGTACTCATATCACACATTTTCATACTTACATGTACATACGAGATCATGACGTCTATATGTCGAGTATAATTGAATCAAGATGAAGATTGAATCATGAAATGGCTAAAATGTGATAATGTCTTCTCGAGAGCAAAGCCCAATGTGTAGCATGTACTCAAGTAGAATTGCTTTTAATTTGAGGTGACGTGACTGTTTATTTTCGGATATATTACTTATAAGATACTTATCAATCTCGGTCTGGTTTTAGTGAAATTAAAAATGAGTTCAGATTAATGACGATCGATTCATACGTACGTAAACTCGAAATAATCTTCGAAGATTATTTGTAACAAGAAATATATATGTATATACACAAGAAAGTATATGTATATACGTACAATTTATTTGTAATATATTATATTGAAATATTATCCAATTCAAAAGTAGAGTACTGTACAAGATTTTATATATATACAAAATATGTTTATATATATATATATATATATAT